ATAAAATATTCTTAAAAGATGGACAATGTATGAAAAAAGAGAATTTCACTCTCCGATCGTTGAAATTAATTTCCATTTTCTTATATTTCATCTAAACTTTAATCAAATCGCGATTAAAATCGATCGTGATCGGAATAAAATTGGCGATGTCGCTAGTATTATCTTTAAAAAACGGAATTCAAGCGCTTAACGTTTGTCGTTCAAATGCATGGTTAGTAGCCCGTAAACGTTGCCGACGTTGTTCGAAGGTATTTCATCGATACTCTGTAAATAATCCCGATTCAGTTGGATTTTCAGCGCTTTCCAATCTGTTTTACTGAATTTCTAAACGAAACGAAACATTCCTCGGACCCAATATTTCCATCATACGCGTATTTCAATAATTCCAATAATTACGTCGCTTATAACCGACAAAGTGCCGCTCTGATCGCTTCAAAGCGGAAAGATTAAATTTTTATAAAGGTCCAGCTTTAGATCGATGTTTAGATAATAAATTTACTACAGAAATTATTTATGTCTTCTTCGATGCAGCCTTCCCATTATCATAGCATGCGGGAAAATGAAACTTTAAAGAAAAAGACAATCTCTTATTATTTTCAAAAAAGAATCAGGAAAATTCCAAAACTGTTCGTATATACCTGTCGGAAAACCTGCCAACGTTCACAGATTGCCAAAAGGCAAGGTTTTCGGAATTCACAAAACTACCTATAAACTGTTTCAAAACGATAAATCCTCCGGAAGAAGAAGATGGGTAAGAATAAAGAAAGAATTAGTTCGCGGAAAGTCTCGATCGACATGGAGAGTCGATTGGAGTAGCGAAATGTGTGTGGTTCCGTCCGGAACGGCATCGGTTGACTGACTGACAACGAAGGATAATGCGGAACGAATGGAGCGATCGAAGTGTTGGCGATGCAAGAATGAAACCGTTTCATCGCTCGTTGCAAACACGGAGAAACTGACGTTGAAACAGACGTGCAGCACGTTAATAAAGTATTTTGCAACGTATCGAGAAGTATCGTTACTCGCAATGCGCCTAATACGTCGAAGTAGGCGAAACTGAAACATTTTACCGCGAATGGACAGCTAGAAGAATAGATCCGTTAAAAACCGACGTAAATCCTGCGGATTGATGGTTAAACAGCGTCAGCCCAGGCACCCGTCGATATTTCGAGACATTTCTAGCCATCGATGATCGATATCCTACGTGCTACGATCGAATTTGTGTCAACGTCGATTTAATTGATTTAGCAAATACGCTTATCGCGCGGAACAATTCATCAAGCATTAAGAATCCGAGTATTTGAAACTTAGCCGATACGCGATAGTCGTTCTTCGTTGGAATAGGAAGTACGGTTAGGTCGGGAGAAAGATACTTGGTTATTACGTTCATCGATTGTTCGTGCTATTGAACTCGCGACAAAGTGCAAGGTACAACGACAACGACAACGACAACGACAACGACAACGACAACGACAACGACAACGACAACGACAACGACAACGACAACGACAACGACAACGACAACGACAACGACAACGACAACGACAACGACAACGACAACGACAACGACAACGACAACGACAACGACAACGACAACGACAACGACAACGACAACGACAACGACAACGACAACGACAACGACAACGACAACGACAACGACAACGACAACGACAACGACAACGACAACGACAACGACAACGACAACGACAACGACAACGACAACGACAACGACAACGACAACGACAACGACAACGACAACGACAACGACAACGACAACGACAACGACAACGACAACGACAACGACAACGACAACGACAACGACAACGACAACGACAACGACAACGACAACGACAACGACAACGACAACGACAACGACAACGACAACGACAACGACAACGACAACGACAACGACAACGACAACGACAACGACAACGACAACGACAACGACAACGACAACGACAACGACAACGACAACGACAACGACAACGACAACGACAACGACAACGACAACGACAACGACAACGACAACGACAACGACAACGACAACGACAACGACAACGACAACGACAACGACAACGACAACGACAACGACAACGACAACGACAACGACAACGACAACGACAACGACAACGACAACGACAACGACAACGACAACGACAACGACAACGACAACGACAACGACAACGACAACGACAACGACAACGACAACGACAACGACAACGACAACGACAACGACAACGACAACGACAACGACAACGACAACGACAACGACAACGACAACGACAACGACACATTTAATGCGCTTAGCATTAGCGTTGTACTCCTGGTGCGCCAAACGACCACGTTTATGACATCGTTGTGGTCGCGGTCATCTCTGCCGATGCCTACGAAATGTCAGCTTCGTTGCGCAGAGATTGTAAACGCGATTCGGAAAGGTCTGCCGAGTCGACCTGTCGTTCAACGATTACGATATCGTCGGGTAATCTGTCCTTGCTATATATATGTCGAGTTCTCATTGGGGTTAGGGGCGTTTGGGCGTCCATTTGAATTAGATATTGTCGTTATGCACTAGAGAAAATATTTACTAATACAATTATGATTATTACAGAATTTGACAAGTAACCGTGGTAATTAGATATTCGAGATGCTAATGCCAATGACCTTAGGTTCAATAACGAATCCACTGTCAACGGAATAGCAAATGTGCATTCTTCCAAAGTCCAAGTCGTACTTGACTTACTTGTCCACATTACAAATATTACTCAACTAACTCTTTGTTAAAGCATAGAGTATTCACTGATCGTAAAGACGCTGTGTAACTCGCCGATGAGATCGTACGTGAATGTCTTTCCGTCACGATGATGCTGTAGAGGAAAGTTATGATGGGGTGTGTCTAAGAATGCGAGATCATCAGATTTGTCGAGGAAATCCTTCGTTCGAAAAGTGAGGGAAATGGACGCTGCTGTTAATTGGTTAATTTTTATGTTTGATTTAAGGACTGTTAGGACAAAAACCGTTTGTCCGTTTGAAGAACTGTTAAATATTTTGTTAATTCGACAAGTATGTAAATAAAATTAAGTGTACAGTATAAATGTAAGGAGGCGTGTTAGGGAAGTGATACATTTACACTGTACATGAGAGTGTGTGTGTAAGGGTCAGAGGGCGTCCAGGTCTTAGTTGAGAAAAAAGACTGTTGCCAGATGTTAGAAGAATAGGATAGTCGGTTGGCGACAAGCGTGAGTGCAAGACGTTCTTCAGAGTGTAATATAGATGTATAGCTGTTGTGTGTGAAATATAGTCAATTATTTGTATTTCCAAATCCTCGAATTTCCTTAATAGTTGTAAAAAGGGATGACAAGAAATTATATTATTAAAATAAGTAATCGCGACGTGTCTATAGACCGATTAAAACCCGCGTTTATAGTACCGGACGACTTAGAGGAAAAAACCGCCGAATCTCGTAACGTAGTGATTCCGGTAGGACAAGCGAACGCCCCCGACGAAAGGGATGCAAAAAAGAACAATCGAATCGCGGAAGAAAATACCAGGAATAAGTACGTTACGCGGTCTGGGCGAAGAGTCCGTTTTCCCGATTGGTTTTAGGCAGGTTTCGAGTAAGAACCGTAAATTGTCGGACACAGAATACATTGTATATATTGTATAAATGTTCAACTTTTAAAATTGCGACGACCAAGAGAATAGTGTAAATAATGTTTTTACGAATACGACCTAATAATAACGTTATCACTGGTAGGGGGGTGATGTAGCGGCACATAAGTCATAGGACATGGCGGATCGAGAGCGACTCATGTTGTTGTTGTGCCTCGGAACACGGGCATCGCCTTGATGCACGAAACATATCGATAGGTAAACTCCGGACAAAACAAAGTCACCCTTATGGGGAACCGTCGATTTAAGATGTTAGTTACAAATTAACAAGTTAGTATATACCGAGTATCTATGAATTATGACTGGTTCTTGACTTTGACTGAGATTTGACTGAATATAGACTAGAGCGCAAGGAGAAGAAGTAGAGTTGACCCTCCTGATGATATAGACTGGATGTAAGTGACTGTTCTGTAGTTCCGAGAACAAATCTAGAGGGTGCAAGTGTTTAAGACTGGATATAGTCTCGATCTAGACTCGATGTAAACTCGATGTAAAACTCGATGTAAAACTCGATGTAAAACTCGATGTAAAACTCGATGTAAAACTCGATGTAAAACTCGACGTAAAACTCGATGTAAAACTTGTCGCTCCTATGTTATTACGGAAGAAAACTCGGTGTGGGTGTGCCATTTACACGAGGAACGCGGGTTCGTTGTTCACACTTTTCAATAGGAAAGGTGAGGGTAACGATCCGCGATGTCGATTGGTTATGACCTACGTTAATGCCTGAAGGTATGAGGAGGAATCCTCCTACCAATGTGGCCCGTGGGTGACCTTGTTCATGGGAAAAACCAGTCTGTTTTGTTAGACAAATATTCGGGTTTTCCCAATAGGAGACTACCCGCTTTCTCCGTGTTTTTAAGAGCGCTTAATAAACCCAAGGACCTTTTTAATAACTGCCGTGAACCGAAAATATTTCTAGGATTAAAATCCTTCCGGGCAAACATATTGACTGAGAAACATATGTTGGCACAATGCAGTTAAATGTTGACGGTTTATGATGGGTCCTTAGATTTATTGAGGATCGGAATGACGGTACGTAGACCGTTGGCTGTCCCGCAGAGAGGGATGGAGTGCAGTTGTCTTATCTTCACACACGTTAAAAACCTTTGTGGCGAACCGCGTAGCCGAGATACAAACGAAAACCAATATCGCCGACTGGCGTCATGTGCCCACCGGCGACAACCCAGCGGATCTAATCTCCCGAGGTCAGACTCCCAAAGAATTCCTATGCCCGACTATCTGAAAAAACGGACCCGAGTGACCTAAGCAGCAAGAGGAAAACTGGCCGATCTGGATCTGTCTAATCACGAACATCATCGACAATACACTCCTCAACAGATATTCTTCCTGGACAAAATTAATAAGAGTCGTCGCTTGGTATCTTCGATAGAGACATAAACAAAACCGAGCTGCCCATCTAACCGCAGATGAATTAACTGCAGCACACAACCAATTAATACGGATAATACTGTGGCGGATCGGTACCAACAGGACGCCGACAGCTCGGGGCATTAACGCGGTCGTAA